AAATGTGAGTGAGAATATGTGATTTTGTCTTTCTCCATGGCAGAAATGTTAACTCTCCCCAGGGGATGATAAAATTAACTATGATCTTTTCAATTTTTCCTTTATAATGTCCATCAAAGTAAAATTACAAGGAATGCACATATAGAAAGGACTTACTAACTTAATACCAGGGAAAATATGTGCCATAGAAATCCACAAATAATTCAGATATTGGATTTGTTAGACAAGAACTTTGTAAGAAACATGATTTATAAATTTGGAAAAAATATCAAAGAGGAAGAATTTCATCTAATGTCTGGAATATATGAATAAAAATCTCAAATGGATATGTTAGACCTAAAAAAGAAACAATTGCAATTGAGACATTGATAGGAATAATAGCAGACAGACACATTTGAATGGAGTCCGAATTAATTGGAAGGCTTGTGAGTAGAAAATATACAGATTTAAACATTATCAGGTTTTTCATATTTTGTCAACCACAATTCCAAAATAAATGGAAACAGTGTACCTATATTCATTGCTTTTTTTAAATGAGTAGATAGACACAATAATTGCATAAAAGGGAGAAGAATAAATTCCAAGAAATTTCTTCCTCATATCATTCATTCATTCATCTAAGCACAAATGCTTACTGAGCACCTACTCTGTATTAGACACTGTGCTACTAGCTAGTGATAAAGTGGGGAAGAAAATAATTTCCCCTCTTTTTTAGTTTACACTCTATAAATTGTACTACTAATACGTAATAAAATGAGGGTATTTTTATTTGAAGCATTTGCAGCTTTTGTAAACTGACTCTGCATTTTCCTTCTTACTTTTCAGCTGCTTTTGCTGTTGCTTTTGGCGGTTTCCTCTATTTTCTCAACTTGCCATATGTGATCATCAGTGGAGAATACATACATGCGATGAGCCTCAGGAAGAAGCTCTTTCCTTGTCTCTTTTTAAATACTGCTTTACGTATGGGGATTGATTTACTAATCAAGATGGAAATGAAGGGTGAGTCTTTCCTTTGTAAAAATGCCTTTGATGATTTTATTCCCAATAAGAAAAGACAGGTGAAGTGGTGTTGGGGTAGGGTAGTTAGTGAGGGGTGATTTTAGTGTTTCTTAGATATAGTACTAGGACTATACTATTTATCACAGAAGTTATATATGTATACTAAATATAAATATACACACATTTATGCATGCAAATATATATATAAATATGGAAATGTAAGTAAATAAATGTTTATATTATATATAAAATTATATATTTGTAGGCATATGTATGTTCAAATTTTATCTATAATAGTGGTCTCATCTGGGGGTCAATTTTGCCACCCAGAGTACAATAGCCATGTCTGGAGATATTTTTGGTCTTTGATTGTCATGACTAAAGAGTGCTACCTATTGTGGGTAGAGGCCACAAATGCTATTAAATATTCTACAAAGTACAGGAGAGTCCCCACAACATAGAATTATCCAGCTCCAAATGTTAATAGGGCTGAGGTTGACAGACCCTGGTCAATGTCCATATATTAAAATCTGTGAGGCCGGGTGTGGTGGCTCACGAAAATGGGCTGGGCGCAGTGGCTCACACCTGTAATCCTAGCACTCTGGGAGGCTGGGGCGGGCGGATTGCTCGAGGTCAGGAGTTTGAAACCAGCCTGAGCAAGAGCAAGACCCCGTTTCTACTATAAATAGAAAGAAATTAATTGGCCAACTAATATATATAGAAAAAATTAGCTGGGCATGGTGGCACATGCCTGTAGTCCCAGCTACTGGGGAGGCTGAGGCAGCAGGATTGCTTGAGCCCAGGAGATTGAGGTTGCTGTGAGCTAGGCGATGCCACGGACCCACTCTAGCCTGGCAACAAAGTGAGACTCTGTCTCAAAAAAAAAAAAAAAAAAGAAAGAGAAATGGCCATAGCTCATGTGTTCCTTAATATAACCCCATCAAGCCCAAATCTGTATTAAACCTTAAAAATATTCAGAAAATTATTGACGTGAATGGATTTCCGGAGGAAAACCAGTGAAAAGGCTAAGTTTTACGTCTTGGTTGATGTGATCACACCAGAATATACATGCAGTATGTTGGAGATAGAGAAAACCACAAGAACATAAGGGACTTTTCTTCCTTGACACATACAGACAATTTGTAGTGATTTTAAAAAGGTATTTTACTCCTACAGGTTGACAGATGTAAAAAAAAAAAAAAAAAAAAAAAAAGGTATTTTAATTTCCGCGAGTTGTGAGATTAAAGATTCTAGGTATGCTTAAACAGCTTCTTGTATGGTAAGAGGATGCCAGCAGATATATGGGTTACCTGAATAATACATTCATGCAACTGATCCAGATAAAATGAAATATCTAAGCCTATCTTTTCACCAAATACTTGAACAAAGGATAGTTCAGTCCAACAGCACAATGCCTAGCTTGTAGAACAAATAAAACCACAGCTATGACTAGAAATTAATAATTACATATCTAATCATCGCAGTTCCAACTATACCTCTTATACTGGTAGTATTGTATAAGACACTAAGATCTATCCAATCTAGATTCTGTTCTGGAGAAAGGAGAGAGAAAACACATTGATTTGTGTTTTATTTGCATATATTTCATTTTTATCTTGTCAAACAAGGTAAACATGCTGACTACAACCTTTAATTAACATAAAGGTACGGTTATGGTCAGTGACAAACATTTAATATATATTGTAAATTAACTTTTAGTCTTACCAAGGAACAGAGACCTGTAAAACAATACCTTGTTCAAACGCTGGATTCTAATACCAGCCACCAAACCAAGAGGTTCAGCTTCAAAGCAATCATTTTCCAACATATCAGATGGATAGGATTCTTCCTTTTTATTTGGTTTCCCACACCAATAGGATTCCTAAAAGAACAAAAACATAATCATTATGATGTCTCTGAAAAACAAAACACTCTTAGCCTGAGAACTCTTTAGCTTGTTTCACTCTGGTTGTAAAGATAAGTGACAGCAAATAACCTGAATCTAAATTTGGAAGCAAGTTGCCTAAAATATGAATTCCTACAGAATAACCACAGAACAAACACACTATTTAAAATGTCGTGGTCTAAGAAGAGAGGCAAAATAGTATTGCCTCAAAATGGCATGGTGAAAAGCATGGTAGTACTGTAACTCAGGTTCTTTATTGGGATGGGTGGTCAGCAGCACCCTGGAGATGCCAAGATCCTTTCAATGGGTCTGTGAGGTCAAAATTATTTCATAATAAATTTTTTAAAATATATTGTTTGCCATTTTTTACTGTGTTGACATTTTCATTGATGGATAAAAAGCAATGGTATGTAAAACTGCTAGTGCCTTGATACAAATCAAAGGAGTAGAAT